TGAATGAGCATGGATTTATTACAGATTGATTTGGCATCCAGCAACAGCATCATCAGGCCAGAGGGTTCAGTGGATATGCTGCCAGTAACCTCCGGTGGAGTGAGAGGGCTAGAACAAGGAACGGAGGCCAAACACCCAGGCCTCAGCCCCAGGTGGTGGTCAACCCCACCACTCCCACTGTGCCTTCCCCTGCCCACCACCACTGGAATTGGGGCACCATCTTGAGCACTACCTGCCCACCCAGAAGCATTAATTAACACACCACCATTCATCTGCTAGGTGGCGGAGGGAAAGAAAGGTCCAGTACTATATGCATCCCACATGATGTTACTCTTCGGAATACAGTGGTACCTCGGGTTAAGTACTTAATTCGTTCTGGAGGTCCGTTCTTAACCTGAAACTGTTCTTAACCTGAAGCACCACTTTAGCTAATGGGGCCTCCTGCTGCTGCCATGCCGCCGGAGCACAATTTCTGTTCTCATCCTGAAGCAAAGTTTTTAACCCGAGGTACTATTTCTGGGTTAGCGGAGTCTCTAACCTGAAGCGTCTGTAACCCGAGGTACCACTGTACTATACAAGGAGAAACAAGGGACTGGGAACAGCTTTTCTCCCTCTCCCATGAAGGCCATGCTGTCTGGGGCTGATAGGAGGGAACCAAGTCAGGGAAGGCAATTTCTCCCTCTCTCTGGATTTGTGGAACCTTCCTGGGAAGAGAAATCTACAGGTCCTGCAGCAAACAGCTTTGCACATTTTGGGGTGCTGGGGAAGTAACTGCAAGAGGGAGCAGGACAGGTCTCCTTGGAGGCAGGTCAAGGTCCCCTCATATTCGCTGCGAGGGCAACTACTCAGGAGCCCTGGCCAAGGAGGGGAGGCAGTAGGAGCCAAGAGAGGCTTGGAAAGAGAATTAGCAGCTGACAGGACTGTGTGAATTGCCTTCTGCACACTTCCCAAGCCCAGGGTGGCAAGGATCAGGAGCAGAGCAGCGAAAAGTCACACCTTTGCAAATGAGGCCGCCTTTCCCACAGCTCCAGGGCTGGGGTCCCCCCTGTGGCCTTTGACCCCTCCCACAAACCTGCGAGGTGCCACTTCACACCTCCCAGGGCAGCATAAAGAGGACCCCTCCCACGTCCAGGCCAAAGTGGCCGCTGTCCTCCACTCATGTCCGGCTCTCCAGCCCATCTCTTTGGCCAGGACCTCCTTGTCCCCAGCTGGGCCATGACGTGGGGCCAGGCCGGCTCCTGCTCTGCCCCCTCCGTGGGCATTTGCAGCCCCTCCACGGCTTACAGCCGGAGCCTGGTCCCAGAGCAGGCCCACCGCTGGCTCCCAAAGGCCAGGGCACCCCAGAGGGCATCATGCCTCGCTGCCGGCAGCCAGCGCCAGAGTGCCAGCCAGAGAGAGAAGCACCGCATGCGACGCCTGGCCCAGGCCCTGCACACCCTGCGCCTCTACCTGCCCACCTCGGTGGCACCAGCTGGGCAGAGCCTGACCAAGATCGAGACGCTCCGCCTAGCCATCCGCTACATCACCCACCTCTCTGAGCAGCTGGGCCTCAGCGAGGAGGCGCTGGCGCAGAGGAGGGCAGGGCTGGCACGGCCTCACTGCCCCCTGTGCTTCTCAGGGCTTGGCTGCTGCCAGGCAAGGAGGTCAGACCAGGACACCACAGAGTCCCCGGCCCAGGACCGACCGGCCCCTGAGACTTGGATGGGCTCCCCACCCTGCCTGATCGGAATGGGTCAGGGGGTCCAGGTCCCCGACTCCAGAACCTGGCCACTGCCTCCTTGTGGCCTCCAGGATGAGACTCCTGCTGCCGTTGCAGAAACCTGGGTGCCTCCAGCGCCCTCTCTTCAGATCCAGGCCTCTCCTGAGCTGCAGAGGACTCCTTGCTCCCCCTCACCTTGCATGAGGTTGCCCATGGACAAACCAGGCAGAGTCTGGCCTGGGGAGCAAACAGCAGCAGATGCCCCTGTTGTCACCTGGGAAGGGCCAGCCTGGGACCTTGAAGAGCCACCTGGCTGCAAGGTAGGTGCTGCATGGGGGTGCCTCTCCTCCTGGCAAAGTGCCCCCTCCCAACCCCTGCCAGGGCCTGTTGTCCTTTTGCCTCGCCGGGGCTCCCTCTTTACCCTGCTCAAGACCACATTCCAGGAAGCTAGACTTCCTGCAAGTCCCAAACTGCCGCTTGCCTTGGCACCAATGCTTTTGAAAAGCATCTCCCCAAGACTGGCAGCACATGGGCAACCCCCACCCCCTTATCAGGCACGGGAACCCGCAAGGCAGCCTCCCACCTGTCTTGCCTTATAGAACTGGGGAAGGGGGTATAGGAGCAGCCCAGGGTGCCTACAGGCAGGCTGGCTTTGGGAGAAATCGGATCCTCCCAGATTGTGTGGCTGTGCAGTGGTACTCAGTAGGGAGAGAAACACATGTGCTGTCAATGGACAAGAACACCTCTTTTCTCCCTTTGTTTGTCTCCACCATTGTGTCTCGTTGGCTTTGTTGATTTTTCCGCACAAACGCTGATTTGTGCATTTGGCTCTGATGTTGTTTGTCAGCTGCCCTGAGTTGCAGTACGAAGAAGGCTGCTGGGATGTATTTTTAACCAATTAATATGTCCAAAGACACTCTCTCTTAGTGCCTTCCAGATGTTTTCGACTGCAAGTCCCATCAGCCCCAGCCAACACGGTTGTAGGATGACCCTGGGGCTGATAAGAGATGTAGACAAAAATATCTGGAGGGCTGCAGGGTGGAGAAGGCTGGCCCGGAGGAACACCCCCCCCCCCGCTGGTTTCTTTGCTGCAGCGAAGAGAGCAGGCTGCCCCCTTGTGGGGGGGAAAGTCCTTTGCATCTCCTGGTGAGCAGACGCTGTTGCGCCAGGCGGTGATCGCCACGTGGCTTTTGACCTCCTGCGGGTTCCCCAGCCCTGACTGTGGGTTGCTGCTGACACGAGTGCCCCACGGATGGAAGTGGGAGGCTGCTAGATCTCTCTGAAGCAGGCAGTGGGTTGTTACGGCTTTACTTGTTTTCATTTAGTAACTGGATACCGTATTGCTGGAAACCCACCCTTGGGAACAATAAAAATGTTAATTAATTAAAGATACAGCCAAGGGGAGGGGGGATTTGGTTTCCCCGCCTCCCAGGCTCTGAACTACATTTGAGCCAGGACTGGCTGGGATTTGAATAAGAAGTTCCAGCTCTGGAATATATGGAAAACATGCATTTCCCTGAGCATGTGCAGAGTAAACCAGGCCTTGATGGTTTCTAAATCCAGTACCATGTGAAATGATAAAACCCTATTTATGATTTGCATGCACCCTTTTTTATAAAGGGTCTTTAGCCATGCCTTTCTTCAGATGGACAGTCCCGATCTTTTTCTATTCTCCTTGAATGTAAGAGCCCTCAATAACGTTTCTTACCCTTCTCTGATAAATATCTTGTTCTATGTTATTATGTGTAATGAAACAGTCCATATTTTATAAGGTATTGACAACTTGGTATGTTTTTTATTTACTTATTTTTCTGGCGAGTGCATCTTTAAAAAGCATGAAATATTACTATACGCTGCAAATTGCTCAGTATAGGGAATGTAGAGGGAAGAGGGATAAACAACAAAGAGTCCTAGTAATTGCAGTGCATTTCTACACGCAGCGTGCGTACCCCAGTGTGGTATACTGGTGGAAGTGTCAGACTGGGACCTAGGAGATCAGGGTTCAAATCCCCACTCAGCCATGAACCTCACTGGGGGACCTTCGGCCAGTCACTCGCTCTCAGACTAGCCTGAGCGCTGTTGTGGTGAATAACCAAAGGGGGGTAGGGGGGTATAAATGCAATTAATATATATTTATAATTTATAAAAATAACATCAATAGGTCCCAGAACTAAGTTCACCCGATAGAGTGCTGCCTGATAGCTGCTTCTCCCTACCCACTTGTGACTCCTTTCTTGGCTTCCTCAGGACGGCACCTACAGAGCTACTTGGAACCTCCCCACCCAGCACCCTTCCTGTGGTTTCCTGTGGAGCAGCCAGACCTTAAGAGGGTGAGCCTGCTGGGTGAGAAGCAGCCACAGAGGAGAAGCCACAGCAAAGGAGGAGGTCCTGTGGTTGTCCTGAGCACCCTCCACCTGCACTGAAGGCATCCTCGTCCCCATCAGCAGGAGATTCTCTTCTTCAGAGCTCCCAAATGCTGGGGCACGATCAGGACAGCAGCATCTTCTCTCTATGGAGGTTTCCAGTCCAAAGACCCACTCTGACTGCAGCAAGCGCAGTTGGGGACTTGGCCTCCAGGTGCCTGCTGGGTTCTACAAACCTTTGCTCAACCACAAACTCATTGAGCCCTCTCTGTCCGGCCATTGTCCTACCTCACAGGGTTGTTGTGAGGATCCACAAGGCCACACACTTAAAAGTAGCAAAAAAAACCTTGTATGATTAATAAGCGGCAGTCTTCTTGCTTGAATCCAAGGTTATTTTTGTTTGTTTTAGACCAGCGGTTCCCAAAGTAGGCAGAACTGCCCCCTCCCCAGGGGGCTGCTAAAAGGCAAGGGGGCAGCCAGGGATGCTGGTGGTGTAAATGACTATCAGACTTTGAAAAGCTGGTATCACCGGATCAATTTCATCCATTTTGTTGAATTAATTAAACTTAATGGTTTTACTTGGATTTTGAATAAACGTGCAATTAATTGTTACTGCTTTGAATTTTATTGTGTTATTATCTTCCTAAGTGAGTAGTGCAAGCAGCTTTTATAGGGTAGAGCACTGCACTGGGGATGAGTTTATGGAACCAAGGGAAAGTGGCCTGAAAAAGTTTGGGAACCACTGATTTAGGTTCTCTCTCTCTCTCTCTCTCTCTCTCTCTCTCTTCTCTTTCTCTTTCTCTTTCTCTTTCCCACTCCCCAACCCCAAAGACTTGGTCTCTTTCAATTCACAAAGATATTTTTTTTGGGGGGGTGGATACACAGAGCTACAGAGAACCCCACCCCTCCCACTAATTAATTAAAGAACAGCCTGGGCATATAATTCAGGATACTACTTTTTAATTTATAAAGTTAGGGTTTAAAAATTTATAAAGTTAGGGGTATAAAAATATACAGAGCTTTCTGGGTGGGGGAACATCACCATGGTCGAGAGGGGGACCCCTCTCTCTTTCCCCTCCCTCCCCCCTCCCAGGACCCCTGAGGCAAATGTGGAAACAGGCAGTGCAAGAGAAGAGGCTTCTGGGCAGTGCGAAGAAGCAAGGGTGGCCCGTTTGCCCCAGGGCAGAAAGGAATCTGGGGTGGTGGACGCGGCCAGGCCTCTTCAGTGGCCAGGAAGGAGCAGGACGAGGTTCACAGAAGGATGGGGGAGAAGAGACAGCTTTGGCAGTAAAGGGGTACTCCAGAGCAACGTGGAAAGACAGACAGCAAAACTGCTTGCGGACAACCTCAGCCTGATCCCCCAGACCTTCACAGCTGGCTCTGGAACCACTTCAGGGCAGGCTCCTTGTTCGCAGCCACCCACTGGATGTTGGCCTTCGTCTTCTCCAGGGCCTGCTCCAGCGCTCGTGTCCCTGAGCCAAAGCCCACATCCGCGTTGTCTGCCTTGAACTGCTCCAGCTGCCGGGAGGGAGAGAAAGCAGGCAGGGGGTCGTCACTGTCATCATTGGAGAGTGTGAGGAAGTGGTCAGAATGCTGGACTAGGACCTGGGTGACTTGGGTTCGAATCCACACACACCCCATTCAGCCAAGAAGCTCACTGGATGACCTTGGGGACCAGCCCCAGTTTCTCTCAGCCTAACCTACCTTGCAGGGTGGTTGTGCAGATGAATTATCTATCACATTTACGTATATTCCACTTTGGAGGGGAGGTGGAATATAAATAAGCAATTGTGGCTTTTTAACTAAAAAGTGCCATGTGCGTTACACTGGGGTAACCAACACCATCCTTTGCTACGTGAGCAACCCATATAGAACAGAACCCATTTTGTTTTGTAAAGAATTGGCCCACTTCTTAACACTTAATCTTAAATTGTTGCAACCTGCCCTGGGACCTGCTAGTGGAAGGCAAGTAATATATTTAAAATGAAAAAGAATGAACACAACAGTAGCCACAGGGGTGAGTGGGGTGGGGATGGGGGGAGAGGATGGATGGATGGATGTGCAATTCACCTGAGCAGCCCCTTTAAAAAAATCCTGTTTTTTAAAAAAATCAGTTGCTTAATTTATGCTATAACCCTTATTGATTAAAGTGTGGCTGCCCAGGGCAGGTTGGAAACCCCCACTTCAAACAAGTGGAGGACAGATGTGATGGTCTGGAATTGGGGGAGGCTGTGGCCCAGATCCCATAGGGCGGTTTTTCCAGCACCTCACCAAGCCTTGGGTGTTCTGCTCAGTGCCTGGCATCCTTTGGGTGGCCTGCGAAGGGTCATGGCTTCTGGCTCATCAAGGTGTTTGCCCCCCACCCACACTCTGCACAGGCCTCCCTCCTGCTCCTCCAACTGTATACGGTCCTTACCTGCCGGAGCTCAAAGTCGGAAGCGAATCTCTGCGTCACCGCCTGGATCAGGTTGGAGAAGGAGAAGGAGCCTCCGCCGTACCTGGTTTGGTGGGTAGGGGGGTAACGGGAGGAAAGGGTGAGGCTGGGCACACAACACAACCAATGCCCCTCCCCTGTCACCAGCTCAAATCACCCCACTCACTGGTCAAAGAGCGTCTTCCAGTTGGCGCGGACAAAGTCCCACACAAGGCCCTGCCCAACCACGTTGCGGGAGATGCTGATGATGGTGGACGTGGCATCCTGACGGCGGATCTTCGTGGGGTCCAGCGAGAACTCAAGGTACCTGTGGAACCGGATGGGGGCAGGTCCTTGAGCTGGCACCACTGGCAGCAACTCCAGGGGACCCTGGGGGTCTGGTCACACACAAAACCTCACCCTTGCCCAACCTCCCCACTACCACCACCACCACCACCACCGCTGCATTACCTCTGGCATTCAGGCGCCTCAGCGGCGACTAGGCCAGGGCCTGCACCTCTGCCATGGGCCTCTGTTGGGGCCCACTGCAGCTGTAGGTGGAGGCCGTGTGGCAGACAGAGATCCCACGGTGGAGGCTCAGGCCCTGGTTCAGGCATTGCTGTGGCTCTGGAGCGCATGTGCTCGCACTGCGCTCCAATGTCATCCCATCACAGTGAAAGCGGGCCCAAGTTGGCGCCACTGGCTGACCCTCTCCTGGCTGAAACCTGGCCCTCACTCCACCTTATTCAGTCCTTGAAGACCACATCTGCCCCTTGCCGCTTGCTTCCTGGGAGTGCATCTCCCAGGGGAAAGGGGCCACAGGCCTGACCAGAGGAAGGTTGGCCCCTGCTCGTCCCTAGGTTCTGAAGAAGCCTGGCGCATCCTCCCCATCCCCACCTCCACACCCTACAATGGCCTTGTCCAGCTGGGGCCACCTCACCTCTGGAGGATCCAGGGCTCCTGGCTGCAGGCCAAAGCAGAACGGAGCTTGTCAGCTTCAGACACCACGGTGGCATTCAGGAACATCTGCCAGCCAAAGTCCCAGGCCTCCTCCCCACCTGTAGAAATGGCACTGCAGTAGATGGCAGAGCGCAGGTTGGGTGCGATCCTGAAGGCGAGAATGAAGAAACGATTCATTTTCTGCATAATTTTTATTAAATTTTCTGTTTTACAATTTAAAATACTCATTTTACGCCCTTAAGATATGCATTTACATGCCAGTGAATATTTTATGCTACTATTTTATTGCTGTTATTAACAGATCCTATTTTTAATGGATTTATTTATATATATATATATTGTTTTAATCCTATTGGTGTTTAGTTGATTTTTAATGATTTTTAGTTCTTTTATTTTAGCTTTGTTCCGCAATTTTTATTTGTAAGCCACCTTGAGCCCTGGTCCAGGAGAAAAGAGGGATATAAATAAACAATAATAATACTAGTCTGCAAACCACTCTTAGAAATGTGTTTGTTTTTGATTAAGCGGCATATAAAACTTGCTAAATAAATAAACTAAATTTATGATTAGCTGGCAAAGCAGCAGCTGAGGACACACGGATCACTCATGTGTCCTGAGATCCTGCAGGAGTGGAATTTCTTTGAAAACAAAACAGAGAGGCAAACTTGTCTGACTGGCCTAAAAAGCCACTGCTGTTACACTTTGATCTAGAGGATTTGCCTCTCCAATGCAACCGTGTGCATGCTTACTTGGAAGTAAATCTCTCTGTGCTCTGTGGGAGTTACTGGAAATGATGTATCTGATTGCAACTTTTACATTTGGGAAAAGCGAGGGTCACTTCCACACTTAAAGCACGTGGCTTCCTGCAAAGAATCATAGGGACTGTAGTTTCTTAGGGGTAGCAGGAATCATAGCTCTGTCAGGGGTAAACTACAATTCCTGTGATTTTCCTGGGGAAGCAGTGACTGTTAAAGTTCTACAAATGTGCTTTCATGTTTTGGTGTGGATGTGACCCCAAACCAGCCTGAGGGATTGGTCTGCTCAAGGGGCAGAGGGCTCCCCAGAGGTCTGTCCTGGACCATTCAGACACAGCCACAAACACTTACGGGTTATTGCTGGGGTCATTCATCCAAGTGTTGAACAAGTCACTGGCCAAGTTCTGGCACTCGGAGATGCCAAAGGAGCAGGCTGTGTTGATGGCAGAGATCTCGTTGTACCTGGGCAAGGAAAGGAAACTCAGGGGGTTGGACTGGATGAACCTTGAGGTCATAGAATCATAGAATATTAGAGTTGGAAGGAGAGTCCACAACCTCCTGAGGGAGACCAATTCACTGTCAAACAGCTCTTAGTGCCAGAAAGTTTTTCCTGATGTTTAGTCTCCCTTCTTGTAACTTGTAGCCATTGGTTCGAGACTAACCCTCCAGAACAGGAGAAAACAAGCTTGCTCCGTCTTCCACGTGACAGCACTTAAGGTATTTGAAGATGGCTATCATATCTCCTGTCAGTCGCCTCTTTTCCAGGCTAAACCTACCCAGTTCCTTCAGCCATTCCTCATAAAGCTTGGGTCCTTTCCAGCTCTACAATTTGGTGGTTCTCTGACTTGGAGCTAGAGAGAAGAGCAACCCAGGAGGCCTCCTGGCTGCAGCTTGGACCTGGAAATCCCAGGCACAGTATGTTCCCAGCTTGGAGCACCACAGAGGAAGCCTCTCAGCCTTTTCCCCTGCCACTGTGAAATGATGGGATGGAGGCTTATCTTCCCACCTCCCCTCTGCCCAGAGCCAAAGTGAGAACTGAAAAGAGGAGCAAGAGGCAACAGAATCCCCCCCCCGGTGCTGCATTGCAGAGACAGTTGGCCAGTAAGATTAGCCAAACCTGCTCAGCCCCTCCTTTGAGGGTCCTCCTGCCCCAAGCAGGCCAGTTGTCAACCCCAGCCTAGCCCCTCCAGTGCCCCCCTGACACTTTCCCCTCATTCCAAGGAAACTCACTGGTCCATCAGGCCATCTGGGATTTTGGTCCAGTTAGCGGTGAGGTTCTTATAATAATTGAACAGAGGAGTGACCTGCTTCTGGATGTATTTCTGCAGAGGGAGAGGAGAACAACGCAGCAGTCATAAGGCAACGTTCTCTCTAAGAAAGAAATGGACCGATGCCTGCCTTGTAGCCCCCTGCCCAACTCCATCCCTGATTAGCACTAGGCTGGGAATGCCCTTCCCCATTTGTAGGGTGAGGCTGGGGGGAGCTCTCAGAGGGTGCAGGAGTAACACTCTCTCCTCCTCCCTCCCAGCCCACCTGGCACCCCACGTCCCTGGAACCCCACCCATGCCCACCACGACCAGAGCTCACCTGCATGGGCCCATACACCTGGCTGCGGTCGAACATGAGCTGGAAGTAGCCCAGGTTGCTGAGTGCTGCACTCCAGGGCAGGTAGTCTCTCTCATTCCCCAGGTAGAGGGTGGTGTTCAGGGCCAGCTCCGTGCTGGTGTAATTTGCCCTGGAAGATTGAGACAGCTTTGGGTGGAGGGTGTGTGTGGAGCAGGCTGGTGGGGCCCCTCCCATCCCCTGCACAGTTCAGCAGCCCTGCATTTAAGGCCACCGAGACCACAGGAAGTCATTGCCCACCCCCACCCCCACAAATCTTGGATCAAAACCTAACCCAGAGTCCTGTTTGCAGTGCCAGCAGTGAGACTTATGCAGCCTTTTGCAACCTAGAGCCCTCCAGGTGTTTTAGACCAGTGATTCCCAATGAGGGTGCTCTGGGGGAGGATTGCCTAGGGGGTACTAAGAGGCAAGGGGTTAGGGTTAAGTGGCTGCTGAAGGTGTAAATGACTATCAGAATTTTAAAAGCTGGCATTACTGGTTCGAGTCCATCCATTTTGTTGAATGGATTAAATTAAATAGTTTACACTGAATTTTGAATAAATGTGCAGTTACTTGTTTCCTCGTCACTTCCCTTCTTGCAAAAAGCCTGTTTCTTTTGGGAGAGCAGCTTTGGTTGTGCAAAAGTCCCAGTCAACTATAACGAGGCAATCCAAATTTGCAAAGATGTGACTGAATCCCATGCAAAAGCTGCAACAGTCTGAAAGTGCCCGTAATCCAAAACATCCGGAGGCATCAGGATGTGGAAGGCTGGCCCAGGAAGATGTGAAGCTCATGAGCATGGGCAAAGTGCCCTGCTGTCACTACTAGGGGACCCAATGGACCTTTGCAAGGGGAAATTTCTGGGCAGACGAGCTTGGGCACCTCACACTCTTTTGATTTTACGCAAGAGCAGCAGTAAGCCTGGGTGTCTTGAGAGCATGCACACTCCACATAAGTGGGTGGGGGTATGTGTGTCAACTCCAGACTGGCTCGCTGGTTCCAGAGACCAGCCCAGGAAGGACCAGGCAGGTTGGACCTGAGAGCACTGACAATAGCCACTTCTGCATCCAAGCAGCACAAGAACCCTGCTGTATCCTCATACGCCACCAGAGGGCACTTGGACAGAGGTTTGGCTTGAATGGCGTTGCGGGTGTATATGGAGATTAGTGACTCCCAGATACAGGGGAGCTGTAGGTAACCCAAAGTCTCACCTGGCCAGGTTGAAGGAGTCATCAATCAGCTGAGCACGGTTAAGAATTGGGATTTTCTGGAAAGCAGCAGAAGTTGCTGGTCAGGATGGGAGGAACAGGAGGGAGGGGCAGGCTGGTAGGAAAGGGTGAGGGCAGGAAGGGAGCTGAAACATTAGACCAGTAGTTTTCAACCAGTGTGCCGTAGCACCCTGGGGTGCCTTGAAAGATGGTCAGGGGTGCTGTGGGCAACACTGGCCTCTATCCCTCTTTCCTTTCCTCCCTCCTCTGATGCCCTCTTACGTCAGGCGAATGGTGCTTCTGGGAGGCACCTCTCTTTGGGGTGGGGGAAGCTCAGAGACCAGGCACGGCAACAGCAGCTGCCCTCGGGACTCCCAAGGAGAGAGGAGAGGAGAGGAGGATGAGGGAACACTCCACAAGGGAGGGTGTGTGGAAAAGGGTGAGAGGCTGCCAGCTCTGCTGGCAAGGGGTGACATAACTAGGCTCCTGAGCCCCACAGGGGTGCCAGAGAAAGAATGTACTGTAATTGGACAAGGGAGCTGTGGACTCAAAAAGGTTGAAAACCTCTGTGTTAGACCAAGCCAAATCCAGCCATAGGGGAGCCCCGCCCCACCTGCCTTGCAAGGCCAGGTTCCCACATTCGCCCGAGACTCATGATAAAGGCAGAACACTGCTGACATTTCCTGCTAGTTCAGAGTTGTGGACCAGTCCCTGGTTTGGGGTTCCCAGTCTGTCTGAAACAACCCATTTCCTTTTGTGCATTGTCACTTAGATTGCAACCCTGAGAGCAAAGTCAGTCTTATAGCACTACTGGCTGTTGTCAGCCACTCTGGGAGCCATTTTCAGCGGAATAATTCCCTCCCACCCTTGATTTTACTGTTTTACCTTTTGTAAACCACTTTGATGGTGTGTGTGTTTTACAATCAAGTGGTGTATAAATTTTATGAAATAAATTAATACTGAGTCAGGAACAGTGTTTCCCTCCCACACACACACCCCTCCATCAGTCACCAAATTTCAAGGGCTGTGGGGGAGAAGGGGGGGAGCCTTTGCCTCACAGACTCTCCAGTTAAACCTTGAAGAAGTTGAACTGGAGGAAGATGGAGACCTGCCTGGGCTCCTGGCTGTGTTCAGATGAATGGGACCCTGGTTGTGTAGAGAGGGGAAGAAGGGAGTCCAGGTCTGTGGCTACCTGGTGGTCTGTCTTCAGCTGGTCCAGGAGCCTGTCCCAGTTCCCCTGGTCATAGTTCACCCGGAAATATCCTGTGACGTTAATGTTGAGGAGCAGCCACGTGTTAGGATCAGCCCCAATTGAGAAGTTGGAGTTCTGAGCTGCAAAAAGAGAGAGAGGGGTGACCTTGCGTGTGATCTAGAGAGACCCGTTCTCCAGAGCCAATTCCCCTCCCCCTGCCAATGTGGGCTCAGAGTGGCCCAGCTACAAAGTGTGATTCTAGGAAAGATGGCTAGAAAGACGTCTCTTGGCAATGGGGTTGGCTGTCCCTCTTCTCTAGCTAGCCAGGGAATAGTATGGTGCCACTTTTGCCTACTTGACTACAAAACTTACTTAAAAGCCTCAACCAAGCAACCATCTTGCAAGGTTGGGGTGACCCAGTACTTTGGTCTGAAAAGCCTAATATATTGTTCCCTACAGACCCTCCCAGGTGCTAAGATCAGCAGAGAGGGCCCTCTTGGTAGTTCCTCCACCCTCAGAAATTTGTGGGGGTGGCCCAGTGTGTGTTGAACCAAAGGTGAACTGTTCTGGACGCTCTGCAAACACCATCTCAGTAGTCAAGATAACCCCATAATTTATTAGTAGTTGTAGCAACGAACTCATATATGTTTATATTTTTTGCTTTGATGTTATCCTTATCTATGGGCTTGGGTGCTGGGCTCTGAGCCCAGAAAGGGGAACTATCTGTAAGATTTGGGTAGTTGCCACCTGTCGTCTCCTCTAGTCAGGTGAAGCGATGAGAAGTCCTAGACAAAGTGACATACTGCTTTGTGTATTTAAAAATGTATGAATGTTTGCTTGGGTGAGGACAATCTGTCCCCTTGCTAAGGTGCCCGTCCCACGTCTGTAAAGGCTAGGAGACCTGGCAGGCTGATTTGCTGCAAGTCTACACCCTTCTTCTTAATAGAACACTAGAACTGATCATTCTGGCGTTTTGGGCATCCTTCTTTGTTATCCTGCACCCAACCACTCCCATGAGGCCTCCTTTGGGTCTGCGATTCAGAACACCTGGGAGAAGAAGGCATTCTCTGTGGCATCCCTCCCCACATGTATGCTGAAGATGAACCTCTTTACCCTGGCCTTTCACACCCAAGATACATGTTTTCAGGACCCGCTCTACTCCTGTGACTGCAACTTAGCTATTTTAAATATTGAATATTGAATAGTTGTAAGCTGCCCTGGGGCCTGTTGGTGAAGGGTGGGTAATACGTTAAAGGAGGAGGGGAAGATGGAGGAGGAGGAGGAGAAGTTGTATTCAACAAACTTTTACCCTTTGAAAATTAATGGTCCTCAGTTAGCTATGGCCATGAATTTCAGTGGGTGTATTTTGAGTAAAAGTCAATTGAATGCAATAATAATCCCAGCGACATCACGGTAAAGCTGGGAAGATGGTCGCAGTGAAGGGTACCTGTTGTGCTTGTGAGCCAGTACAAGGGTATTGGATTATCTGACTTCATTGAGGAGACAGGGACGATCCAGGTGTAGCTGCAGAAAGAGACAGACAGGTGTGTCCTCCCTTGTCCTGAATCAAGCCAAAGGTCTCTTGGCTTCCAAGGAGGAGGAGGAGGAGGAGAGTGCACTGGCCAGGAAGTCTAGTGATGCCCTGCCAGGAACTGCCAAGGGCCACAATGCTCTGGACACAAGCACACTCTTTCCTCCAGGTCGTTCTGGACTGGATATGGCCTTTCCATGGAGTCTGTGGCTCAGGGTTCCCTACTTACTTGAATTGTGAGGATCGGTTAACAACAGATGTTTGGTCCAGCAAGAAATGCTTCTGAGTGAGGCTCCCAGTAGCAGTGTCCACAGTCACCACTGGGAAGCCCATCTGCAAGGTCCACCGGTCCATGATTTCTTTGACTGTGCCAGGGAGTTCAAACCTGTCTTCATCTACTGCCTGTCCAAGGGAGGGAGTGTTAATGAGGCACAGGGATTCATAGCAAAAAAACAATCAAGAAAACTTGTGGCAATGCAAAGCCTACCAAGCGCATTATGGCATCAGAAGTTTTGTCAGATGCAATCAATGCAAAACACTCAGCTGTGGCTTCTGGCCACAGTCACACACCCCTTGCCAAAACTCTATGTTGCTTCAAGGTGCCCGCCAAGGGCTGAGCCCTCGAGCCCCACATAAGGGTTTAGCCCTCATAGCTATGGATGGACAACCAGGAAATAACCCAGTTCTGTTGAAAATCCCAAAGGTATTATTTAAGGGGAAAGGGGAAAGGGCAAAGCTCAGCATCTGGTTTGCATGCAGAAGGTCCCAGGTTCAATCCTCAGCTGGGTGATACTTCCTTCCTGGAAACCCTGGTGTGCTGCTGCCAGTCAGTGTAGACAATACTGATCTAGATTGACCTAGACTCTGACTTGGTATAAGGGAGCTGTTCCTCCCCTTTTCAGCCTCCTCCATCAAGTCGTGTGCAGAGGCAGAAGGAAAGGGAGGGGGGCTGTTGGCACAGGGTCACATGCCAGAAAGCAAAGAGTGCCCAAGAACAAAAGCTACCATGAAAAGCTCTCTTCTTCCCTCCCTCCCTCTCTGGAGAATGAAGTCGGTCCAGTATTTAGCACAGGAGACACTGACTTGTTGAGCATCACAAGCAAGGGAAAGGAAAGTCTCTGCCCCCAGCAGCTTGCAGTCTAAACTTCAACAGTGAGAGGTGCGACTGAAGGAGGGGAAAGGGTGGCAAAGAGAAATGGAAGCAGGTCACGGTCACTGAGGCTCCTGTGGCTGGAGAAGAGGCTGGTGGGAGCGAAAAACCTATGGTCTGGAAGAAGAGGCTGTGGGATGTAAACACAGGAGCAGTCAATGACAACATTCCTAGAGTGTACATGTTAGAACATGGTGGGGATGTCTGTCCAGCAAGCAGGTAAACTTCCTGGGGACGGACTTCCTCCACATGTGACTAGAGGTGGGTGTGGCCTCACCTGTGCAGGTGATGACAAAAAGCACAGGGCAGGCAGCCATCTCTCTCTCTCTGCCATTTTCCTTCGACGAGGAAACACCTAAGGATGCCCTCTTGGCTCCCAGCCAAGAGAGGAGATAAGACCTATCTTGCTATGAGATAGATTCTAAATCTATGTAACCTTTTTAAGCTGTGCCTTCTGGGATCACATTGTGAACAGAACGTGAGTAAACTCTTTTATACTTTTATGAAGACTGTGTCGTGTCTTGTATTTTAAGAGGGAACTAAAGGGGAAATTACCAGGGTAATTATTATAGAGGTTCTAGCGAACCTGTGCACACGTTACCGTTGCGTACTAAAGGGGAATGTATGTAAACTCTGCTGATATTTTGGGAACTTGTTAGCACAAGTTGGATCAGGATATAATTAGTCAATATATCCTTTCCTGCACCCCAGAACATTCCCACAAAGGGTTAGTGGCCCCAGTATTGCATATTTCTGCGTATTTTTGGAGGATTGCATTGGATTGTGATTTTGAGTTGAGTAGTATTTTTTCTGAGTTAACTTCCTGGTAAGCACATGGTCCTTTGTTCCATTGTGCAGTGGGGATTAAGCAACCCACCCCCTTCCCTCAGAATTCACAGTGACCCAAGGCAGTGAAGAATTGTTTCGTATTTTGAGATTTTTGAGATTTTGATTTTAAAATTTTGAGAAATTTTGAAATTTTGAAGAATTTTCAAATTTTGGATTTTAAGATGGCTAGAGCAGCTTTTGATAGTGATGCAAAGCTAGGAATGCCTGTGCTGAATGAGTACAATTTCATGCACTGGAAGCAGCGCTTGATAGCATGTTTGGATTATAAGCACATTTTGGAAGCTTTAGAGCCTCAGCCTACAGGATCGTCTGAGGGAGATTTAGCCAAGATAAGTGCTTGGAAACGCATGAACAGCGAAGCCAGACACATAATTTTGAGTGGACTTCGTGATGAGCAGCTATCATTAATAAATAGCACAGATGATGCATCTCAAATCTTAAGAGATATTGAGCGCGTGTATGGAGAATCTAGCATAAACAGCTTCAGAAACTTGGTGTGTAAATTAACCAGATTGAGGATGAATTCAAAAGAGGAATTCACAGAGCACATCAACAAGTTTACTGAGATTATTCAAAGAATTGATCTGACTCCCAAAGCTTTTGATAAGGATACAAAGATAGCATTTTTGTTATCATCACTTGGACCACGCTTTGATGCATTTGTAAGTTTGATGGAGCATAGACAAGGTCTGACATTTAAAGACTTGATTGGTTATTTAAAAGAAGAATGCAGAGATAGAGGTGAATCTCCAGTGAGAAATGCTAGAAGCAAGGACAGCAGTTATGCATCTAGGCAATGTACAAAGTCCAAAGAGATGCCTAAGAAAGTGATTTGCTTCAATTGTAACAAAGAAGGACACATTGCAAAGAATTGCAGGGCTCCTAAAGCAAAGAAACCCCACCCCTTTCAGCCAAAAGGGGAAAAGAAGGGGAAATGTGAATGCACATGGTTACTGCAAGAAAGGAACTTAGCTGTCCAGAATCGTGAAAATAAACGTAACAAATGGATTTTAGATTCAGGTGCCAGTTCACATTTTTCATATAAAAAGGACTATTTTAATGAGATTAATGAAATAAATGATGAAGAAGGATCTGAAATTGAGATTGCAGATGGTAACATTGTTAAAGCAAAAGGTGCAGGTTCCATGAGCCTGAAATGCAGTATAAACAATGAATGCATTGAGAACACAATCGCTAGAGTTTTGTATGTTCCAGAGCTGAGTTGCAACTTAATCAGCGTGTCCACTTTGGACAAGAAAGGTTTTCAGGTCACATTTGGAAATGGAGGATGTAAAGTGACTAGAAATGGCAAAGTGTTTGCTCAAGCAAAGCTAATAAATGGTGTATATGAGCTTGATCTTTCAGAGAACCAGTCTGCAAAAGTGGCACATTCCAGCCAGAAGGATGAAGCAGATCTGGACTTATGGCACCGAAGGCTAGGACACAGAGACGCCAGCCTCATTCTGGATCTACAGAAAAGAAATCTTGTAAGAGGTTTGCAGGTAAAGCAGAGCAACAAAGCTCCAGCAAAGTGCATAAGCTGTATTACTGAGAAGGCTGTAAAACCTTCATTTCCACGTTGTGCAGAACAAAGAAGCAACAAAGTGCTTGACATAGTGCACACTGACATATGTGGACCCATGAATGTTCCCTCACTGGGAAAGAATAGATATATTTTAATATTTCTGGATGACTTTTCAAGATTTTGTGTTGTATATTTCCTCAAAGAGAAGAGTGAGACAGTGGACAAGCTCCAGGAATACATTGCCATGGTCAAGAACAAATTCCAGAGAGCTCCAGCTGTGTTAATGAGTGACAATGGAGGTGAGTACTGCTCAAATGAAGTGCAGACTCTCCTGGCCAGAGAAGGAATTGCACACGTAACCACAATTCCTTACACACCACAGCAGAATGCCATAGCTGAGAGAAAGTTTAGGTCCATTATGGACATGACAAGGTGCATGCTAAAGGATGCACGTTTGCCACACAAGCTGTGGGCGGAAGGAGTGTACACATCGGTCTATTTGCAGAATAGACTGCCAACTAAAGGTGCAGAGCGCACACCATTTGAACTTTGGCATGGGAAAGCTCCCAATCTGTCGCACATACGTGTGTTTGGAAGTCCGTGTTACTTCCACGTGCCCAAGGAACACAGACACAAGCTTGACTCCAGGGCAAAAGCAGGTATCCTTGTGGGATATGCTTCTGGAGGCAAAGGATACAGAATTATGGACTTACAAACTGGTAAGACAAATGCATACCATGCGGTTTATTTTGATGAATATGGAAAAGTAGACACTAAGAACACTGTTGTGGATTCTTCAGATGAGTCAGAAAGGACTCAAGAGTTTGTATATTTCCCTTTTGAGACCCCACAAAGTAATTATCTGCCTTCGAGTGTTACAGCGCCCCCTACAGGCGATGCACCAGAAGACGCAGAGGACCAGAACCCTGGCGGCACCAGAGACGAAGATGAGGACTCAGATGGGGACATGCCTGCGTTGGAGGAGGATGAGGAAGCTGATGCGGTCGCAGAACCAGAGGTCAGACGCTCATCCAGAACCAACAGAGGTGTCCCACCAGTACGGTTGTCCTACCTTGCAGGGTCGGCGTTTCCACAGGAACCTTCCACTTGGGAAGAGATACAGGAGATGCCAGCTGCAGAAGCCAGTCTCTGGAGGAAGGCCGCGCAGGAGGAGATGGATGCACTGCATCAGAACAAGACCTGGACACTCACTGAGCTGCCTCCCGGTAAGAAGGCCATTGGCAGTAAATGGGTTTTCAAGGTTAAGAAGGGGTCAGAAGGAGAAGTGCAGCGCTACAAAGCTAGACTTGTGGCACAGGGATTTTCACAGCGTTTTGGTGAAGACTACGATGAAGTTTTTGCACCAACTGTGAGGTACAGCAGCGTAAGAATGCTTTTAAGCATTGCAGCCTCCAAGAAAATGAGGGTGAAACACATTGACATTGCTACCGCTTTTCTACATGGGCAGATTTCAGAGGAAATTTACATGAAGCAGCCCAAGGGTTTTGTAAAACCACATGAGGCACATCTAGTGTGCAAGCTGCAGAAAGGACTTTATGGACTTAAACAGGCTGCTAGAGCCTGGAACCAGAAGTTGCATAAAATGCTGACGCAACTTGGGTACAAGCAAGGCGATGCTGACAAGTGCTTGTACAGTAAGTCAAATAATGGACAATTCTCATATATCCTAGCATTTGTTGATGACCTGATTATTGCCACAGCAAGTGAGAAAGACTATACACAGATAGTAAAACACCTTAGCAAGGAGGTGGAGGTCAAGGAGCTAGGAGATGTCCAGTATTACCTCGGGATTCAGGTGGAAAGAGAAGAGGACGGATCATTTCTTCTCAGCCAAAGACAGAAGATCCACGAGCTAGTTGAGCACATGCAGATGCAAGACGCACACCCAGTTGCTACACCGATGGCTACTGACTTCCTGAAGAATCAGCAGGATTCGAAGCAGTTGCCAGACAACAATGACTACAGGTCGGCGATTGGTAAACTTTTGTATTTAGTTACCACATGTAGACCTGACTTAGCTAATGCTGTGGGGATTCTTAGCAGAAAAGTGAATTCTCCCACTGAGCATGATTGGGCAGGTGTAAAGAGGGTGGTGCGATATTTGAAGGGTACCATGAATTGTAAATTAAGGTTACCAGCTGTCAAAGACCCTAAGTTGGTTGGGTATACAGATGCTGATTGGGCTGGGGATAATGCTGACTATAAATCAACGAGTGGTCATGTTTTTATGTTTGGTGATGGACCTGTCGCGTGGGGCAGTTATAAACAGAGCTGTGTAGCATTATCTTCCACAGAATCAGAATACGTTGCAGCAACAGAAGCCTGCAGAGAGATCGCCTGGCTTGATCAACTCATAAAGGACTTTGGGTTGGTGAGAAAAGGGCCTGTCAGCTTGCTAGAGGACAATCAGAGTTGCCTGAAGCTGACGCAGAGTGAGAAGTTCCTGGCCAGAACAAAACACATTGGGGTTAAATACCACTACATACGCCAGATGATCCAGGATGGACTTGTGGAACTATCCTACTGCAGCACCCAAGAGATGACTGTTGACATCCTGACGAAACCCCTACCAAGAGAGAGTTTCCAGAATCTACGTGTCAAGCTGGGACTCTGGGTGGTTGAATAAAGTTGTTTATATTTTGTATATGTTGTATTGCCTGAGAAGGGGTATGTGGGATGTAAACACAGGAGCAGTCAATGACAACATTCCTAGAGTGTACATGTTAGAACATGGTGGGGATGTCTGTCCAGCAAGCAGGTAAACTTCCTGGGGACGGACTTCCTCCACATGTGACTAGAGGTGGGTGTGGCCTCACCTGTGCAGGTGATGACAAAAAGCACAGGGCAGGCAGCCATCTCTCTCTCTCTGCCATTTTCCTTCGACGAGGAAACACCTAAGGATGCCCTCTTGGCTCCCAGCCAAGAGAGGAGATAAGACCTATCTTGCTATGAGATAGATTCTAAATCTATGTAACCTTTTTAAGCTGTGCCTTCTGGGATCACATTGTGAACAGAACGTGAGTAAACTCTTTTATACTTTTATGAAGACTGTGTCGTGTCTTGTATTTTAAGAGGGAACTAAAGGGGAAATTACCAGGGTAATTATTATAGAGGTTCTAGCGAACCTGTGCACACGTTACCGTTGCGTACTAAAGGGGAATGTATGTAAACTCTGCTGATATTTTGGGAACTTGTTAGCACAAGTTGGATCAGGATATAATTAGTCAATATATCCTTTCCTGCACCCCAGAACATTCCCACAGAGGCAACCTTTGAGGGAATATGCAAAAGCAGAGAGTGGGCTGGGGGAAGGAGGTGGAGAAAAAAGAGAAAAGGTAGAGCCAATTAAATAAGCAGGAAAGGTGAAAATCATGGGGTGGTGGATAATGCAGGAACAGAGCAGAAAGAGAGGAAGGCTGAGCTATACTCAGATCCTGTGGATTTCCCTCCTCAGCCAAACTTGACACCTGTCTAAGTGGGCAGTGCCCAGGGCAGAAGATGGGCTGACTGGCAGCCCTGATGTAGGGGGACGTGCTTAAAATCTGTTGACAGCAAAATGCCAGCAGGAGAGGAGGATTCAAAATGAGCTCAGGGTTTGAGCAACGGCTGTGCCGCGGGATGCCAAATGCACAGCTGTAAGTTGTTACACACATGGAAGCAGCGCTCAGCAAAAAGCCCAAGAAGGAGATCGTGGACTGAAAGGGAGCTGCACTGCAAAGGAGCCAACCGGGCAGAGGGGACATTTGGGCCCAGGGAAGTCAATCAATGCAACCATCCTGAGGCAGGCAAGTCCAAGACCCAGGCCGCTGTTGGACCAAGACACAGCCAGTCTTGGCCAAGCCATGCTCATTCAAAGACCTGAGTTCCTGGCATCACAGGGCCAAATGCATGCTTGCTGAGGAGAAGTCAGTGGCTTCAAGGAAAACTCCAAAGATAACCCAGAATCTAGAAAGCCCATCCTTGAGGGTGGGGGGAGAAGCTGGAGGAAGGCCAGGGGAAATATATTTGGCCAAGGAGTGTGTGTGTGTGTGTGTGTGTGTGTGTGTTCGTGTTCACGGTTTCCAGATGTTTCTGAGAATTCCAGAAATTAGCTAAGAGGGTGACTGTTTGCCCGCTGAAGACAAAAAGCAATTGTGTTCTTATAAATAAGGATGGGCTTTTGAAAATGGATTAAGCAACTTCATGCAAGACAGCAAACAATATTGTGTCTAAGAACCTTGTGGATGTGTGTATGGTCTCATCCAAACTGGCCCTTGCCCCCGCTGCCTTTCCCCAGGGAAAGCAAATCTTAACTGCCAAATCGGAGCAAATGTCACTTGAGTTTTCCCCAGATTGATACTTGCACCGATCTATTGCTAATGAGGGTGTTTTCTGAGAGAAAGCAGCAAGAGAAGGGCAAAACCTCTCAGACCTGTGCCTAGAAAGTGCAGGACAAATGGGAAACCACTCATATCCACAGGACAAGGGCAAGTCTGGATGAGCCCTGAATAACCAGCACGTTGAACAAACCAGGATGCAACAATGGTTGGGAGACCTATGAAAGCCCTCCTCCCCCTCACCCCCACCTGCAACTGAGAGAAGTAGCCTCCAGACACTACCTGGCCTGGAACACAGGAAGCTGTATTGTTTACACTGACTGGCAGTAGCTCTCCAGGATTTTAGGCAGGAGCCTCTCCCAGCTCCTCCCTGGAGACATCAATGGGTATTGAACCTGGGGCCTTTGATTTGCAAGGCAGATGCTCTCCCCACTGAGCTATGGCCCTTCCACCCTAACTAGAAGCAGCCACTGGCATTTTAAATGGACGTACCCACTGGAGGTGATGCCAGAGGTCATCGTAGACGGTGTTTCCATATGCGAAGGCCTGAAAGTATGACTGCAGAGAGAACAGAAGGAGAATGAGAGAGAGAGGGAGAGAGATTGATGCCCCCCACCCCAGCTGCCACTGGGCCCTTGGGAAGCCCATACCTCCTTGGTGTGCAGCCCACATTGCCTTTGCTCCATTAGAGTTTGCTGGGGAGGTGGGAACGCACAGACCCTCCCCTTTGCTCACCCAGGTCTCTCCCCACTCCACACACCCCACCCCATGGCAAAGCAGAGGGAGGAAGCGCCAGACCAGGGCAGTGCAGGTATCATTATGAACGACCCAGCGCTTGCCAAGACAGGCCTTACCTGCAGCCCCTTTTTGAAGCAGTCCTCAGTGAGGAATTCGGAGAGCATCCGCAGGACTGAAGCTCCCTGTGGAGAGAGGAGAGGGCAGTGAAGGGAGAGGCCACAGGATGTCCTCTCTCACTCCCACCCATGATGGGGTTCCACACCCAAATGTAAATCCCAAAAGCCAGGCTTGGATAATTCCACAAGCCCCAGTAATGCAGCAGATCCTCTCAGAACCACCACCTTTTCATAGGTGGGAGGCCCTCTGCCAGTCTTAGCTTTGAAGTACCAAGGGAGAGGCGGCGGCTGCTCCCAGCTCAGTTCTCTGCAGCCAAAGTTGCTCCATCTGGGAAGGGAAGAGAGGCAGGCACTCCACCTTCCCCCAGACCCAACCACCCAAGGCACACTCACCTTGCTGTAGGCGATGGCATCAAAGACTTCGCTGATTTGCGCTGGTGTGTTGATCTCCGCTTCGGGGAAGGACAGCGGGTGCGAGGAAGCCAGTGCATCAATGGCCATCACACGGTACATTTCGCTGGAGACCATCAGGTCTTTCTGCAAATCAGTTCCCCAAAATCTCATGGTCCATCCTCACAACAAACGCTCTTAGGTAAGAGTGTGTGGTGGGGGACAGTGACTGGTCAAAAGCTTTATGGCTGAGCAAGGATTCAAATCTAGTTCTCCCTGGTCCAAGCTCACTGCCCACTATTTACATCCCTTTCTACCTGTAAAGTGGACCCATCATGCTCTGGAGGCTCTTCCTGTGCCACACAGGAGCTCCTTCCAGTGGCAACCACACCATTGCCACAACATAAGGAAGAGACCAGCTCTTCCCTCGCTCCTACATGGGCCACATCCACACTCTGCCTCTGTGTGGGTTTATTTTCATAGAATCATGGAGTTGGAAGAGACCACGAGGGTCCTCCAGTCCAACTTCCTACAATGCAGCAATTCTTCTTTCTTTTTCTTTTTTTGTCCAATGCAGGGCTTGAACCCTGAGATTAAGAGTCTCATGCTCTACCAACTGAGCTAGCTCTCTTTCTCAAGCCAGCTTAATTCTCAGAAGCCATGAAAATTACAGTTTTGTGGGGAGATTGGGGTTGTGTACACCATGCATTTAAAGCACACACACACACCAAAAATCCTGAGAACTGTAGTTTGTTGAGAGTGCTGGGAATTGTAGCTATATGAGGGGTAAGCTACAGTTCGCAGAATTCTTGCAGTGAGGTGAAGGTGTTTTAAATGAGTGTATGAAAGACCTTATCAGCACCTCCAGAGAAATCCAGGGACCTTGAGATCACTTGGAAAGCAGCCATCTTTGGTTTCCAGGGTGAATATGTCTCCAAACCTCCCACTACCCAGCCCTCTCCTTTTGCCAGCTACCTTTGCAGAGCTCAGGCTGCCTGAGAAGGACTTGGCTCAGGAGCTGCATTATTCCTCAGAAGCCTCCCCGCACCATCCAGCCCTGTTCTATCTCACAAAAGCAACTTACAATATCCCAGGTGGGCTCCGCCGCATCGGCACCAAGATATTCCACATAGGATGCAAAGCCCTCGTTCAGCCACAGGTCATTCCACCAACGGAGGGTCACGAGGTTCCCAAACCACTGGGGGTGGGGAAGCAGGAGGTTAGTCGGCCTTGAAGCCCCCTCAAATACTCCCTCGGTGCATGGTATTGGGTGGGTTTGAAGTGTGTCAGGTGCCCAGCCAACAATCATCTCATGGGCTGGGAGAAGGTCTTCAGAAAATGGCCAATGAGAGTGAAGAGGGTCTATTGACTGAGCAGGAGTTCCTGGGAAGAGCCCTGCAGCTAGACCAGAACACAGCCCATCCTGTCCAGCACTCAGATCTCCCAGTGGCCAACCAGGTACCCCAGGGGAAAGCCCATCAACAGGACCCAAGTGCAAGATCCCCCTCCCCACTCAAGTGGCCCGTGTGGTTCCAAAACCCGTAGAGAGTACCTGATGGGCCACTTCGTGAGCGATGACGGTCAGCACCCGCTCCTTGTTCCCAATGGAGGAGAAGAGTGGGTCAAAGAGCAAGGAGTTCTCACGATAGGTCAACAGCCCCCAGTTCTCCATGGCGCCGGCATTGAAGTCCGGGAGGGCGACCTGGTCTGGGGAGAGAATGTTCCATGAGCCAGGCTGGGACCACCAGCCAGGCTTCCACAGCTGGGAGTCAGTTGTCACTCCTAGGCCTTTTTACAAGCAGTGCTGTGTATATTAAAAACCACTTGTGAACAGCACTATCATACTGTAAAGAGTTGGCGGGGCTGCAGACCTGCCCTATCATTCAGCCACATGGAACTGAAGTCCCAAGCCAGGTTTCCCCACCTTGCTGCCTTCCAGGTGTCTTGGACTACCTCTGTGATTAGCTGTGATTCCTGCATTGCAGGGCCTTGGACTAGATGAGCCTTTGGGTCTCTTCCAAAGCTACCATACCGTCATCCTATTAACTTCCATCAGGCCCAGCCAGTATGGATGTATTGTCTACTCCAGCACAGCCAAGCTGGCTGCGGCTGATGGGAGTTGCAGTCCAAGACTTCCAGAACATCCTAGGTTTCTCTAAGCATGGTCTGTGGAAACAGTTGAACAGTCAGGTGAAGGAGGTTATAAGAACCAAGGAGGGCCCATCTGGTCCAGCATCCTGTCCTCACAGAGGCCAACCAGATGTCCCAATGTGATGCCCAGAAGCAGGACCTGAGCAACAGCAGCAGCAACACTCCCCACTAGTGATTCCCAGCAACTGCCATTCAGAGGCATTTAATGTCTCTGACAGTGGAGATCAGGCTTCAGAATAAGCAGGAACAAATTGTGAGAGCAGAGGTGGATTTAGGGCAGCGTGAGTGGTGCAGAGTGGGCACGCAGCCAGAGGGTCTTCTCAAAGCCCAGGAATTGCTTGCCCAGCTTCGGGGAAGGAGGTGTGAGGGCTCTGAAAGGGTCCTAGAGCTGGGCAAGCACTCACAAGGCTTTGAGAAGGAGTAAGGACCCTGCCAGAGCCTTGCATGCCCTTCCCAAAGCCTGCTCCTTGTTTAGTAGGCTTAAGTGAGGAGGGGAAGGCATCAAATGTTGGCCATGCACAAGGCAACATATTACCAAGGTCCACCTTACCAACGTGATTTTCACCTTCCTTGACAAGGGTTTCTCTTCTTTACTGAGATCCTCTTGCAGGCTCCCCCAGCCCCCGCTACCCGCTTCCCACCCGAGCCTTGCGTCAGCCCTCCCTCCTGCTTCTGCACCAACCTAGTTTGCTCAGTGGGTAAGGTGTGGCGTAATGCTTCTCAAAGAAAGCCAGGATGGGTCCAGTGACACTGATGCCGTAGTCCTCCCTGGCCCTCTGCAATGGCTTTGGGGCGGCCCCAAATTCGCATCTGAAACAGAATAGGGATGTCTCAGCAAGGATCGTCAGCGGAGGAGCAAGCCTGCGTGGGAGCAGGGCCTGGGGTCCCTGCCTGGAATAGGTGCCCAGAAATCCCTCCGAGCAAGGAGAGCTCCCAAGGCCCACAAGAAGGAGGTGGTCTCCCCCACTGCCACGCCTACCAAGGTGTTATTCTGTTCTCTCTGCACATAGTCAAACTGGCTGACGATGAAAGCAAGCAAGTAGGTTGACATCTTGAGTGTGGGATGAAATACTGTCCGGTTCCAAGGCTGTCCGTCCAGCTGCATCTGTGTGGTGCCTAGAGTGCGGGGAGGAGAAGAGACCATAAACCTGCTCTGCTGATCTTGCCTAAAGTCAAGGCCCAACCATGACCCCTGTTTATCTCCAAAACCCCTTAACTTTTTGTCTGCATTTGCAGTTTCTGGAGTCCAAGGGTCCCAATCCCAGTGCAGTTGGTAGACTACATTGTTGGACTGAATGTGGCCATCCACCTTGTGAGTGTCATCAGTTAACACCAGGCAAACGGGCATTGTTACCCCAGAGAGAAGGAGGAGGCAAGAGGGTCCTGCCCTCAAATGACAGCACCCAGCTCAGTGCTGGAAGTCGAGGCTGTGAGTTGCTCTCACAGTTCCTTAGCTCTGTGGCTGAGTCCATTCTGAAGCAGGATCCTCTCCCTCCAGCATGTTTTCCCAGTTGCCCTCACTTGCTTCCCTTTCTCTCATTTGGTGTCCTCCACTCACTAGGTGTCCTCAGCACATTTTGGACAGCTCCCAACAGTGCCAGCCCTGATGGCTGAGGTGGAATTACTGTTAAGCCCACTAATAGTGAGGCCAGTGTGAACTGACCACAAGCCTGGGAAGAACCAGTTAAAGAGGAACCTGACAGCTGACTGTTAAAGGGGGGAAACCAATTCCATATAACACACAAAGAGGGGTCGGACAGGCACAGTAAAAAAGGGGAAGGGGTTGAGTCAGTTGTGGTTGGATGAGAGAGGGTGGAGTGCTGGTGTGGCAGAAGGTGATTGGGTAGAGGATGAACAGGTAAGATGACATATCTGCCTATATAGTGTGCATCCTAATGGACTCTTTGGACTCTGCCTGGGAATTTGGTGTGAGCCTCTGTACTTGAGCTCCCAAGGGAAATCGCCTCCCTCCTTCCACACAGGCTTCTTCCCTTCAGGAAGGCTGATTCAGCAGCTCTTGGACCCCAAACTTCTGGTGATTCGAAGACTTCTCCCCCCCCCCATTCCACTGGACACAGAGCCAACCCCCAAGCATGTCCTGACTCCAGACTCTGCATAATGGGAACACCATCAAGTACCTGTGGGAAGCAATAGGCACCCAGTGTGGGCACAGAAACCTCCCCTTCAGTCTCCTTACACTTCCAGTCTGGCTCTCCCCTCCTGCCCTTCTACCCATGCAGGGAAAGAGCAGCAATCTCTTGGGAGAGGAGGGAGGGGGTCATGAAAACAGATGGAAACTGAGGAGGAGGAAGTGGCAGGTGTGCTTCACCACCACCACCAAAAGGAGTCCCTTTGCCCCACCCTCCCTTCACCCCCTTACTCTGCACAGGCATGTTCGAGAGAGCCACATGGTCAGATGGGTGGATCAACACGATGGTGAAGGTGGCCTTCATGGCCGGCTCATCAAAGCAAGGAAAGGCCTTCCGGGCATCAGCCGCCTGCATCTGCGTTGTGGCCACCACCCTGGGAGGAGGACAGAGGCTGGTCAATGCATGTTCCCCCAGGTCCACCCACCCACCTGCCATGCCATGTCTTCTTGATTTATTGAGACAAGGGAGCTTGTGTCTTCCAGGGTCTGCCCTGCTTCTTAGCTGCCCAGATATTTTCAAGGCAAGTTGCAATGCAAACACCCACCATGGGAGGAGATAGGTGTGGGTGGAGCTCCCCAGGTTGGGTGCAGGTGGGAAGTACCTGTAGCTCTTGAGCAGGGGTGGGGGGGCATAGCCCCTTTTCTGAGTCAAGTGGCAACAGTCTCCATCCCAACCTCAGAAGTTCCAGGCCTGATTTGGCCATTACCCTGTGCTAGAACGGGGGTCGGGGTGCAGGGTGGGCATTTCATGGGGTGTGGGCAGTCCCAGAGCTCAACTCTGGAGACTCTCAAGCAATGCCACCTAGTCACTCACCACAGTGGCACCAGGTCCCTGCTAACGGTGCTACGTCGCATCCATCCCACTTTGCTCTCCTGTAAACTGGTCTCCTCTCAACATAAGGCAAGCAGGAAGAGGTGGCAAGAGGGCTATGGGAGATCAGCCACCCTGGGGGGGGCACCTCCACATCAAACTAAACAACAGGTTGCGGTTGGGGTTTGGGGTTCAACAGAGGCCCTAGGGAGGACATAGCAGGGACTTGCAAAAGGAAAAAAGCAGCTGTGGGCAGGTAGAAGAAGCTTTGGAGTGTACAAATGGCTGGAGAGTCCCTTGCCTTCATCCGCACCACCACCCTTTGCTGCAATGTCCCACTCTGGGTGGATTTTCCTCCAGCTCCTTGCTAGGGGTCTCTGTGGCTGCCCCAGAGCTGCAGGGTTGGTGACCTGGTGCCAGGTGGGAGGAGGAGCCCAGCCTGTTCTGAGGGCAGGTGGGTGCCAGGCAGCAGAGAGGGATGGCTCTGGCCTCCCCCCTGCTTCAGATGCTGATAACACAATCCAGTGTCTATAGCCTCCCCAACTCACACCCTGCCAGGCTTGTCCAGAGATCTTCCCAGACATGGAGACTGGCTGCAGGAACTGTATTTTTCATAGAACCATAGAACTGTAGGGTTGCCCCACCACACAAACACACACACACAGTTCCACCTACTTGCGAACCCCATCCTCCATGTATTCACTGCGATAGAAGCCAGCCAGGTCATCCGCCAGCTCACCACGGAAGCTGCTCAGCAGCTCATAGGACGCATTCTGCTGGAGGCTTCCGCTAAGCTGCACCACCAGGTATTCAGTGTTCTCCTGCAGCCAGGTCCGAGAGATGGCTGGTGCTGTGGACCCGTTTACCCCACGCAGAGAGACGAGGTTCCCCGCTTGCTCGGTGTAGCTGAGCTTCTTGCTGTGGATGAGGATGAGGTCGGTGGGCTCCACGCACACAAATTGCACTGTGCTGTTGCCCGTGAAGACATAGAGTCCTTGAGCATCCTGGGTCAGGAAGGGTTGCAGGGTGACATCATAGTGCACGGGCTCAAGGGTCTTGGGTAGCCGCATTTGATTCCAAGGGTCGTTTGGGTTGGCCGTAGTGCCAGGAACACTGGGGGTGGCAGCACTGGTGGTGGTAGCAGCGGTAGCTCTGGTGGTGGTAGTGGCGGTAGAGATGGAGCTAGATGGGGTTGGGTCAGACACATCATTGCTTGACTTCTGCTTCTCCTCTGCATAGACAACCGCCAGAGCAATGATGGTGGCCACAGCGGCAACCGCAAGAACGATCCCAACTATGCCCAGCGTCCTGCTGATGAAGAAGCCTTTGGCCATGGTTGAGGGTGGCAAGAGAGTGAATCTGTGAGAAAGAGAAGGCAAGGACCTGCAGGCCTCTTATATGTGGGCTCTGGGGTTTTACTGATCCTGGTTCATTAGTTAATCATCAAACAGCTGAGAGATGGGCGAAGGTCACTGAGGCTTCCCAATCTTGCAGACAACTTCCCTTGGCCCTGTGGGAGAGTTAATGGGGAACTGAGAGCCAGCAGCTTCAAAGTGCATACAATCTTTACCTGCCTCTCTCTCACTCCTGGAGGGTGGGGCAGGGTGGGTGGGTGTGAATCCTTCCTGTCGTCTGCCCTAGAATCACAGAATTGTGGAGTTAGGAGGAACCCCAAGGTCATGCAGGAATCACCTGAATCACCCAACATTCAACTTGGATGACCTCTGATTTTAATGCTATTGCCAGATCAGGTGTAATTTCATATATACCTCTAGTATTCCTCTCCTTCCTTTTTCTCTAAACTTTCTCTACAAAGCCCCAACCACAGTAATCTTCCCTCATAGCGATCATAGGCTCCACCCCCTCAATCATTTTGATTGCCCTTTTCTGAACTGTTTCCAACTCTACAACAGCATTTTTAAGGCGAGGTGACCAGAAATGGGCAGTATATTCCAAGTGTGCTCATCCCATAGATTTGAATAAAAACATTGTTATATTGGCAGTCTTGTTTTTCATAGCATCATAGTTAACTCCCTCCAATGCTGGAATCACAGCTAAAGAACCCCAACCCTCTGTTTAAAAACCACCAATGAAGGTTTGACTACCACTTTTCGAGGTAGTCCTTTCCATTATCAAACAGCTCTTACTGTCAGAAAGTTATTCCTAATGTTGGAAAGTGAGCAAGGTCCCAGGTAAAGAAGATTGCTAACTTAGGGTGCTAGAATATGCAGAACTTGCAGGTTTAACACATAGAATAAGAGAAGAAGAACATATATTGAAAGAAGAGTAGAAAATATTTATTGAATATATGGAAAATAATTGCACATCGCTGAAAACGCTGGCAATATTAAGATAAACTCAACACTGTGATTAATGTTTGAACAATGTAAAAATGGAGAACTAATTTAAACAGTTATAGCAAAATATGCAGGAATGGAAGATTTGCACAATGAACCATGGAAGGAGGAGAAGGGAAGTCACAGGATATTTAAAAGTATGTAAAATGTTTATTCTGAAATGTAAAAATTGAAAATTTAATAAAAACTATTTTTTTAAGAAAAGAATGTTATTCCTAATGTTTAGTCAAAATCTCATTTCTTGTAATTTGTAATTTCTTGTAATTTGAATCTACGTATATTGATTCTGGTCTTACCCGCTGCAGCGACAGAAAACAAGCTCACTCCATCTTCCATGGGATAGCCCTTCAGATATCTGAATATATTTGATATTTCAATCCCTTTCTTAATGATCACTAGCATGGAATTTGCCTTTTTCTCAGCTGCCACACAATAGGTTGACATGTTTATCACATTATCTGCCACAAGCCCAAGATCTCTTTCTTGGTCAGTCACTGCTGGTTCAGACCCCATAAGCGAATATATTAAGTTAGGATGTTTCCTCCAGTGTTCATCTTTCACTTACACCGAATCACATGTGTCATTTTAATGTCCTTTCACCTAGTTTTGCAAAGATTCTTTCGGAGTTCCTCGCAATCCCTTCAGTGAAGGAAAAGCTTTCTGAAAGCCTAAGTACACTATGTCTACAGAATCACCCCTCTCCGGTGCCTGCCCTCAAGAACTCTGACAACATTATTACAGGACCTAACTATGTCATCTGCAACATGAGGGGTTAATTTGCCTCTTCTGGAGTGATCTGCATATCATCATCTGCCACCTGTGCCTTTCTAGAGTCTGCATGGGACAAACAGGTCAGTCTCCACTCAGAAGAATAAATGGACAGAACTCTGGTGTCAGCAATGGCAATAACTAAAAATTAGCAGGGGAACATTTTCTCCTTCCAGGACACTCTGTAACTGGCTGTAGAGCAGCTACCCTTAAACAAAGGAGTTTCAAAGGAACTGCCTGCAATACGAAACCACTGAATTGCAGTTCATTAAAGGTGCAGTGCTATCACTTGCTGTGACAAAGGTAGTTCTTTTTTTAGATGAATGGCATGTGCTGATTGGCTTATGAGTGCCAAGATGCCTGTGTTATCAAGAACTTTTTGAGTGAATAGCCTCTATTAATACTTATACCGGTAATCTTCTGTACGTTTTTTGTTTGTCTAACACTTCCTTCTGACCTCACTGCTCACAATCCCCTTCCCAACCTCATATATATGTGCCTGCAACTCAGGGTCATCCTTCTTTCATATATCTGACAAAACGAGCTCTTTAGTCTTTAAGGTGCCACAAAACCCTGGAGCAGGCAGAAGCTAACCATCTCCTGCACAGGACAGTATCAAAATTGGCCGGCTGTATATTATTATTATTATTATTATTATTATTATTATTATTATTATTCCTCCACCTTTTCCTTGACTCAAAGCAGTATACAGATAAAGTAGAAACAGCTAAAAACATAGAACTTAACAATCATTTAAAAAACAATTAAGAATTAATGGAATAAACACGCACAGAGAGATATCATTGCAATAAAAACATTGTAGCAGCAGGGCTTTCCTTAGAAACAGCCAGTTCCCAAAAGCCTGTTGGAAGAAGAAAGTCTTCACCTGTCAGCAGAAGGGCAGACAGGAGCAAACCAGTCTAATTTCCCTAGGAAGGGGCAGCCACCAAGAAGGCCTTCTCCTGCGTCCCTACCAAGCATTCCTATGAGGGTGGTGGGACCAAGAGAAGGCCCTCCCCTGAAGAGCCCAGTCAGGTTTGGATGAGGGAATACTGTCATTCAGACAGCCTGGACCTAAACCATATATGGCTTTATAGGATTGAGAATGTGTTATGAATTGAAAAACAGTCAGTTCCTTATGTATAAGAAAAAGCTATAAATGGTGGGCACAGCAGGGAGTGGGGCAAAGGACAGTCCAAAATTTGTTTAAAATCTCAAGTTCCTTATTTCTCCCCAAAACCTGGGAGAAAGATGTTTCAAGCCACCTTTCCCAGTCAGTTCCCCGCCAGATGTTTTGGACTACGAATCTCATTGGTCCCAGGTGTCGGTGTCTGTGCTAGCTGGAACTGATGGAAGTCTCTAAAAGACGCTGAGGGCACCAGGTTGGGGAAGGCTGTGTTCAGGCATGTTGCAGGAAAAAACAACGTTTTGAAAAGCGAGTGCCGTGGCCCCCCAAAGGGCGCTGATTTAAGAGCTCTGGGGCACATAAACACTAGCTCCTTCTCCAGGCTGCTCCTGCAGCTCCGAATAGTAATAATAATTTATTATTTTGTACCCCGCCTATCTGGGTTGCCCAGGGGCACAGGGACCTGGGCGCCCACGTCAGCCTTGCGGAAACCCCATCATCGTCATCATCCGCTGGATGATCCCACACACCCCTCCGCTTGCCTACTCACCTTGACTCCCCCATCCCCAGGCTGGGCTCCATTCACAGCCGAGTTCCTAGTTGGAGCAGGCTGGGGCGTTCTCCTGGCCCACGGCGCCTGGCCTGCTCTCGGCTGCTCTCTCCAAAATCAGTCACAAGGAGAGGGCTCTTTCCAAAGCTCCGAAGGAAGTAGCCAGCCCTGCGCTGATCCCTCACCGTCTTAACCCCTGGGCTGCTGGGCGGGACAGAGGAAACCAGGCTCAAGAGAGGGAAAGGAGCGAGGAGGCTGCCTCTGTCCTGGCCAGTCGCTCTCTGTCATCCCACACTTGTCCCAGGCTCCTGCTGCGCCTTCAACTCTGCCCCACAACGCTGGACGCACAAACACACACCCCGGGCCCACCTCCTCTCCAGCTGCCAGACCGTCACATCTGGAAAGGATTTCAGCGGGGAGCGGGGTGGAGGCTCCTGAGTGCTGAAAGCAGGAAGGGGAAGCCTGGAAGTGGAGGTCCCTTTTCTGAGGAGGGGACGTTGGGAATCCTCCGAGTCATTTTGCAGGGCCTCTGACTGCAGGATCCCGGGGCTCCGAGCTAGAGCAGCTTTCGCTGCACACCCAGGGAGAGCTGGAGAAAAGGAGCCAGCGGAGGGACTCGCCTCTGGCTCCTCTCCCTGTTCAGGGCCCAGTTTCGGCGAAGGCTGCACCAGCCTTGCCTCCAAAGTGCCAGCTTTGATCTACACGTTCCTTCTGCCAGGGACTCAGGGGCAAGTTGCTTTCTCCCAGCTTGAAATCCTAGTCTGTGAAACAGAGATGCTAGCAGCCCACCTCGCAGGGCTGTTGTTACAATAAACAACAGGTAATGCTCTACTTATTTAAAAGGCTGGATTAATGGGGAGGAGGAGTGCCGTCACCACTAGAGCCCACTCAAATGCACTAGGACCACTGAGGGTTGGAACTGACTCTTCCCCCCAAAAAGGGCTATGGGGAAAATGGACAGATCTTTCCCTGGGGGAGTCAAAAGAGCTCCCTCCTAAGGCCTGATTCCAACACACACAAACACACACACACGTACCTGGTCTAAGCAAGATTGTACGGCAGGCAAGAAGGCAGGTGAGTTGGTGCTCCCTGCCCAGGACACAGCAGCTCCTTCCTAGCTGGTGTCCATGGCTGGAAGCGTTATTCTTATCCCTTGGCAGGAAAGTGGGGGAGCAGAAGGTGACCACAGGGAAATTCCTTCGAAGCCCTGTCATGCCACGAACTGTGAGGAGGACGTGCCCCTGGAGGGGGCCTGGCTGGCTAGCGGAACAAGTACAGGCTGTGAGCCCGATGCTGGTGACTAGTCCCCAGTTCCTCATTTCCATGAAAGCTTGAAACACAGCTCAGCCCGTAAAGAAGTCATTTTCTTCTTGCTTTATTTTGTTTAACATGCAATTTACCGGCACGGCCAGAAGCAATAATGCTTCTGAATACCAGTTTCTGGAAACCACAGGAGAAGGAAGATCTGGGGCAAAGCTTGCTCTAGGGTCTAGGCTGTAGCCAGCTAAGTCCTGAGCAGAGTATACCTGCTGGAATCAATAGGACCAAGTTGTGTACATTAATTTCAATTAGCCTACTTTGAGTAGAGCTAGCACTTGCTGCAGCCCTTTAGTCCCTAAGTTTCTGACCAGGCTGAGTTTCAGACTTCCATGCACATCAGGAGCTGGGAAATAGCCTCCAACTTAAGCATCTCCCAGAAGCCCAGCCCTTGGATCTGGAGCCAGGATGGAAAGGGCCATTGACTGGCTGGATTCTCACAGACAAGGCTGGGGAGCAGGAGAGAGCAGCCCCCCCCTTTGTGCCAAGTGTGCTCACACCAAGAAAAGTCACAGAGCATAGGCACAAAAGGCTTTAGAACATGACAGCCACGTTATTCCACTGAAGAACAAACAGAATCCAACACTTTGAAAGCTTAAATGGCTTTTTTGGGGGGAAGGGAAGACTAGACAGATTTGTGGAATAGAAGAAGAGCTCTCTCAGGTCCTAAATAGAGCCCCGATTTTCAGAGACAATCTACTTCTGAGTAGCAGGTGTGCAGGATAAGCACCAGGGAAAGCCTTTGTGTTTATGGCCTGCTTGAAAAAGTCCCCCAAAGCTCTTGCCTGGCCATGCCACAGCTGGAAGCAAAACTGCTGGTGAACTATGGAGAGGGGGATCCTGCACCCATCTGGCTAGGTGACTCTTGGGGTCTTCTTTACTACTTCTGTATTTAATGAGTATGTAGGGAAGATAGCAGAGCATAACCAAAAGTCAAAGCTGGCACCACTTTTCTTGTGGGGGGTGGCGGTGGGAATAGATTTATTCAGAAACTAGTTATTTCAGACCCAACCCTCAAGCGGTTGGTTGTGGGAGGCCAGTGAATGGTTGGTGAGTCACTTCGACAGAACTGTGACTTAGCAAAAACTCTGATGCAGCTGGATATAGGAAATGATAACAGGTTGCCTCCATGTTCTCTTACCTGCCTACTTCTATGCAAATGGATATCTTTAGCAACTATCTACAAAGCAATTTTCAGGTGCATTATGCAGCGGTCCTAACCACCACCTCTTAAGGTAAATAAATATTATCCTCCCCAGAATGCTGATGGGGAGGCTGATGTGCTTAAAACCTAGTGAGTTCATGACAGGGGTGAGATTTCACTACAGTGGTACCTCGGGTTAAGTACTTAAGTCATTCCGGAGGTCCGTTCTTAACCTGAAACTGATCTTAACCTGAAGCACCGCTTTAGCTAATGGGGCCTCCTGCTGCTGCCGTGCCGCCGGAGCCCGATTTCTGTTCTTATCCTGAAGCAAAGTTCTTAACCTGAAGCACTATTTCTGGGTTAGTGGAGTGTGTAACCTGAAGCGTATGTAACCTGAAGTGTATGTAACCTGAAGCGTATGTAACCTGAAGCGTATGTAACCCGAGGTACCACTGTAATTGTTTGCTTTATCAAGGGCATGATGCCGTTGAGAGATTCACAAGCAAAGGGTGTCTGCACCCAAGGAGCCTACATTCCAGAAAGATGCAGACTCCAAACCTTCAATAATATGCACCAGCCCTGGCTAGCTGTGGGTCCAGTTCTGTTCCCTATGTGGGTGCTGAGTTAACTAAGCATGTTTAGCTCCCTGTAATTAATCCTACAACAGTGTCTGTGTTTTAAGCACCAGCACAAATTGTGGTTAGTGTCAAACTTGGCAAGGCATGAGAGATCTATGATGGGAGCCCTTGGCATTTCCTTTGAAGAAAAATATTTGTGGTGGTGACAATGCTTGGATAAGAGCCACACTTGCAGAATAAAAAAATGCTCACCCCACACTGATTTTTTTAATTGATAAGAAATACATTGGAAACCAAAAAGAAACGACTCCTATGTTATAAACCAAGCACTGCTAGAACACAAGTAAAATATGATCATGGGGCATCCAGAAAGTATAAAACAATGCAGCTACACAAGTACATGCATCATTGCCAAAATATAATTATAAACATGCCTCTCACATATGTACCTTAAGTATGTGTACAAACTCAATGTGCATTTGCCAGGTAATCTCATTTATATCAGGTCTACTTTGAGACAAACTCTCCTCATGAACACAATACTCTGCTACACTGAAATGTTTCAAGGTTTCTTTGGTTTCTTCCTGCCACACTTGCCATTCTCTCCTGTCACACCAGTGTGGCACACCACCCCCTTTGAGAGCCACTGCCCTAACCCCTATGCTGTGCTCAGGATGAAAATACATGAGTTACTAAGACACCTTATGGGTCAGTTCTTGTGAGATGCTCCAAGGAAAGTTCTCTCTGCAGCAGAGAGATGGAGGGTTGGGTTAGAGAAAGGGTGTGGGACTTGCCTAGCAGCAAAGCCACACCAGGGCTAAAGCATTTTCAGGAGGAACAGAGATTGAGGGAGGGTCCCACGCAGAAGGAGGAGGAGGCGGGGATGCGGCAAGAGGAGCCGGGTGCTGTGCCCAGCGCTGCCTTTGCAGAGCCAGGGAGCCCGCTTGCTCGGGGTCAATGGGAGAGAAATCCCAGCCTGAAAAGGCCAAAAAAAAAAAAAAGCTCCCGGCCTTTAGCAGGCGAGGAGTTAACCCAGGCTGGGAGGCGGGTGGTCCTGCTGCAGGTCCGGCCTTCCGGAGAGGCGGCTCGGAGGGCTGGGCCAGGCTTGCTGCCAAGCCCATGGGAAAATCTGTCCCGTGGAGAGGATTTCTTCTTCTTCTGACTCCTTGCTCTCGGACTAAGTCACACAAAAAGAGCGGCCTAGATCCTGGGCTCTTTCAGAGCAGGGGTGCAGAAGCTGGGGCGGGTCGCTTCGGGCGCTGTTGCTGCTGCACGGTTGGGTCTGAGGCCAGGATCGGGGCCAGGAGACCCATTCTGAACCAGCAGGAACCGGGTTGAGAGACACAGGATGCTTGATCCCAGCCGGGGGACGGGGGGCATAAGAGCATAAGAGGCAGGAGCGGCTGCTGCCTCAAGCTCTGTGGCAGAGCAGCCCCCCCCCATCAATCCACCCAGGGATAGGCGCCCCTGCAGGCGCTCCAGGCACCCTTAGGATAGAGGCAGAAGCAGCTTCGGGCAGGGGTGAATAAAGGTGTCATAAAAAAGGACAAAGGTCCCACCAGAAAACAGGTAATCAGCCCAGCCGTGTTGGCTGGGAAAACACCAGCCAGACTTGGCACAGGTTTGCTTCCATAAGCACTGGAGAGAGCAAAAGAGATGGGGTGCCCCCACCCCGTGTGTGCCAGTTCCAGTTGGCAGCCTCCCAAGCCCTCCTGTACTCCCAGCAAGGAGGGCTGGGCTTGAGGGGGGGGGCAGGTGCTGGGAGTGGGCCTGATACCTAGGCTAGGCTTGGAAGTTGCACATCCTTTCTG